GGGGGGGCACAAGTAAAATCGTATAAAATATTTATAATCCCAGGGATGGCGTTCGCCACCCGGGCCTCGGAGCCTGCTGGCCCTTGTGCCCTGATGATAGTAAAAGGTAGATGTGTGAGAAAGTAGAGAATAGACGGGGAAAAATAGGAGAAAAACTGGCGTCTCTCTGAAACCCATTCTAAGACAAAATTATTACTTTCTGGACCCAAGACCCAGAAGGAAAAATTAAGGGCCCGGCCCTGGTTACACAACTACTATCTACTTTTACGTGAATCAATTTTATTTATGTGTCCACTCAGGTATATATCAATGTGCAGCTAATTGTTTTTAATCATACCTACAAATACCTCGATACACAAATGCAGCAGTTTAAGAATGTTTTCCCCACAGAGCGATTTCAAAGTAATAACCAGCAAAATATCTCGCAAAAAATAAAGTTGTAAACAAATAATGAAGAAATAACTTGACGAAATTGAAAAGATTTTGCTATGAGATTGATTCGAGGTCTATACAATTTTTTCAGTTTTTCATGTTGAGCGGTTTTTAATACTCTGCAGAGCACCGCGTCGAAATTTCAAACCATACTTTTCAATATGCACATTTGTGAAAAATCTTTGAAATGAATTCCAAAGCTTGCAAAACGCTGGTGATTAGGGACTACCTCTTCGTAGCAAAACGCAACAACTTTCCCCGGCAATTTGGCAAACATTGTCTTAATTTTTCTAAATTTCACGACACCATTGAACAGAGAAACTTGCGTGTCAAATACTGTTGAGATATGGCAAAACAAGCATTGGCAGCAGAACAAGGCTCTTAAACTCACACGGCGCTTAGATACAACTATTCGTGCTTCATGGATGTGATTGAAGTATCATCAAAATTGAAGGCGAAATGAGACATCTGCTCTTGACTCCGATTTCGTGCCGCGCTGGGGGACGACCTTTCTCTATCGAAAGGAATCAACGATCCCAATATCCGAGCATATTTACGGCAAAACTTCAAAACCACGCAACTCACTTTGCAACGTTGCAGATTTTCAGTCTTAATTTGATTTTCCAAAAGATGGAACCGCGGCAGACACTTAGTCCAGTCATTTGGTGTTTTTATGCGGTTTTGAGAGCGGAGCTCTTTTTCTCACCAGATTTCTTACCTTTGGTGGAGGGTCTTAAACGAGAATCCAAATTCAACCCCCTACAAATTATGCCCCCCACCCCTAATATTGAAAAAAAGGTGGATTATCGACTATCTTCTCACGGGTTTTAAGCGATAACTCGGGAACTGTTGAACTGATAGATAGGGAGAAGGAACTGTTGAACGGTATATATTCTTCTCTCTTCCGTAAATATGACTTTGAGAGAAGTAATCATTTAAAGTCGAAGAATACTTGCTTAAAACTGAGCATATTTCGAATTTATCAACACAGAGAAATTGAACAAACCGAATTCTTTTGGAAGAGATAATCGAAAGGACCTGCACAAAGGTGTCTTAAGGTGATTCGATGGACGCCATATTTTGTGTCAAAACGGCATGCGATATATCGCATCAATCGGTTCCATTTTTTCAGCTACTCGTCATTTTTCTCCAATTTTGAGATCGCAATTCTGTTGTCAGGAGACTAAAGCACTCATTTCCCAATCTTAACAAACAAATTCAACGTAATGAAGGCGTGGTTTTTTTAGAGAGAAAATATAGCATTAGAGTGCAGTTTCGATATCAGTATCGAATGCGATGTTTTCTCTCTAAAAAAACCACGCCTTCATTACGTTGAATTTGTTTGTTAAAATTGGGAAATGAGTGCTTTAGTCTCCTGACAACAGAATTGCGATCTCAAAATTGGAGAAAAATGACGAGTAGCTGGAAAAATGGAACCAATTGATGCGATATATCGCATTCCGTTCTGACACAAAATATGGCGTCTATCGAATCACCTTAACAGCAACGCTACGAATCAAGCACTCTACGGCCGATGGAGACTTACGT